AACCGGAGGGGCGTGGAGCACCATGAAAGATGTTTCCTTGTGTGAGGCTTGGCTCCAAGTTTGTCATTGTCCCGTGTCAGGCAATGAGATGAAATTTTTTCATATGTGAAAAAAGATTCATGCTGAATTTTGTGCAAAAATTCCAAGGTCGACTCGTACGGAAATGACATTGTTTAGTTGGTGGAAAATTCTCAATAAAGAGTTGGGAAATGAAAATATAGAAAGATGTGGTGTGAGAGGAATGAGCTGAGCCTTTGGTTTTACAGAAAATTTTGGCAAGATAGACATGCCACGTGGCTTGATTTGATTGGATGAAAATCTTATCTAAAATTTGAATTTTGAAATTCATCCGAAATTTGAACTCAAAAATTTATCTGAAATTTGAATTTTGAAATTCATCTGAAATTTGAGCCCTTAACATTTAGCTTTTTAACCCTACAACCACGCCACTTGTAGCCTAACTGTTGCCAATGTGAAATTTTTTGTGGGCCCACCGAATGTGTTGCCCTACAAAAGGAAGTATAATGTGTGGGCGTGATAGTGAGAACATCTTGTGCAAATGCAATCCAAGATTGAAAGGGAAGCGGTTTTCCGCCATTGGTTTTTCTCTGAATCCTTCTAGTCGAGAAGGGAGAAAGCCCGGGGAACTGGACCTACTTTTCCCCCTCCCTCCTCGGGTCGAGTTTTTGTGAGTTCATCCCAAACAAAGCAAACCCCTTCCGGGTCTTGGTCGGGAAGATGCGGATAAAATGCCAATAGCCCGATGTTAGCTTCTACGGAATATATTAAAGGCGCGCTAATGTTAGCTAGCCATTACAATATATATATTTTTTCATTTAACGTTTTAAATATATTTAAATTCGTTTTTTTATTAAAAATTATATAAAAAATTGGTTTTGACTGTTGGAGGTTTGAATCTTTTAGAACGTTTACTTTTTTCTTTTTCTTTTTTTTTTCTTTTAACGATTAAATGCATATAAAAAAAATTTAAAAAAAAAAATTTATAAACAATACATAATAGTGGAATGTATGAGTGTTGTACCATAGTTTATTTTTGCAAACAATAAATATGTCTCTAAATAGTAGTTTAATTAATTTAAATATTTTTATAATAAATAGTAGTTTACAGTGACAATAAATATTTTTAAAATTCGTTTAAATGTCTCTAAATAGTAGTTTAACTAATTTAAACAATACACAATTAGTGAAATTTATGAGTGTTGTATCACTAGCGGACCTAAGAATTTTTTAACAGAGGTGCAATTTTGAAAAGCTAAATTCTTTATAAAAATAAAATTGACAACCAAATATTTGAAAGGCCAAATATAATTACAAGAAAAACGAAACTAACGCGATAGTTGCTAAAGAAGGAAAAAAAACCTCAGCATGTTTGAGGAACTTACTTTGGAAGCTTGATCAATACAATATTTTCTATCTTGGCATAAGAGCAACTCTAGCGGTTCAACTGAGCCTCGGGCTGGGGGAAAATTTTGCCAAAATCTGTTTCCAGCAAGGAGCAAGCACGAGCTGGGAGTGGGTCCCAGCAAGCAGGGCTAGCCCGAGGGCAAGGTTGGCCCGAGCTCCAGCCCTCGTTTTGGTGCTGACGTCAGCGCTACAGTATTGCTACAGTGCTCACATGCTACAGTGCAGCTAAAGTCCACATGTTGTGCTTTGGGCTCTCTGATTAGATTTTTTTCTTCAATCCAATGACAGCCAGTTTTTGTGCAATAAAAAATGAAAAAAAATCGATTTTTTTTTTTAAAATACCAAAAAATTAATGATTTTTTTTTTTCTATAATATATTCAAAGAAGAAGAGTGAAAGGCAGTTGGAACTATAGGCATTACAGCCTGAGGGAATACAATAGAACAAGAGGGATATCCCGTAATAATAATATTCTTTTTATTTGATTGAGATATGAATTTTATAATAAATATTGACACATACGAAGTCAAAAATCTTATCTGAAAATATTATCCAAATTAATTGTTTAAGTAAACAAATTTTTGAAAAAAACAAAAAAATGAATAATAATTGTCTTTTGCCATGACAACGGGTGGAAACACACAATACTATTTGCAAGGGCAACCACTATTCACGTGAATAGTGGCTGCCCTAGCTCCTCCCTTGCCATGGCAAGGGGCAAATGAGTGAAATTGCTCTAAGACTTCATCTGGGGGCAGAGGCACATTGGGACCAGTGCAGTCCCAGGTCCCCACTCAATTTTTATTACCAAAAAAAAAAAAAGTATGTTGTTATTGGATAACCATATTAATTAACATATTTATTTTACCATGTGGGCCCTACCCAGCCAAACCTAAGTTTCCTCCAAGACTACACGTCCTTTTGCAAACCCATTCCCAAAAGTTTTTATAAAACTATTATTATTATATTACCTTTTTACACAAATAGCTAAAAACCAAAGAGATTTTAATCCATTTTTCTCTTTTTTTGGTGGGAGCAAACTTTCTCACTGTTTGTGAGTTTTTCTCTCAAATTCAATATTATATTATCAAGTTTTATAATTAGGTTAATTCATGGATGAATGATTGCTTGGTTGCATATATTGAGAAAAACATTTTTAATAATATGGATGACGTGGTTGTTATGCAATGATTTCAAAATATGAAAACTTGTTGAGGAAAATTATGAATTGTAAAGATTTTTTTTATAATCAAAATTATGATTGTAATGAATAGACAATATTATTTTGATGTTTTGGTATTTCTTGAGTTCGAATTTTTTATTGTTTATATTTTGTGAGAGGCTACTACACACATAAAATCCTTTCGCCATTGACTTGATCGATGAATCAGTTTTTATAGAAGACTTGAGTTCATTGAAAAAAAAAACATATTTGGTGGTAGGGACGAAATTATTTTTGTGAATTTGATGATCTTTTATAAGGACTTGGATTTGATTGGCGGGTGGGGATGTAATAAAAAAGGAACTTCTCTTTTTTTCAAGGATGAAAAGGGGACTTTCTTTTTTTAAAAGCAAAATCTCCTTCTTAGTGAAGGAGTTCCCTCCTTTACCGTCTACATCACGCATACTCTTTTTTTCTTTTTTCTTTTTATATAGTTCAAAATGACGTTGTTTTGGCCAGGAATTTTTAAAAGAATATATAAGCGCTCGTGCTCTTTTATAAGGACTTGGATTTGATTGGTGGGTGGGGACGTAATCAAAAAGGGACTTTCTTTTTTCAAAACCAAAATCTCCTTCTTACTGAAGGAGTTCCCTCCTTTTCCATCTACATCACTCATACTGTTTTTTTTTTTTTTTTGTGTGTGTGGCTCAAAACGACGTCGTTTTGGTCATAAATTTTTAAAAGAATATATAAACGCTCGTGATGCGCAACAAAGGAAAGCATTCCTTTTGTCGAACAGGTAGAGTGCACAACCAGACTGAGCAAAAGGGCAACTTTCCAACACCTACAACCCTTTCTCCGGCAAGAGGAGATGCACCTCTTTGCACTTCTCAAAATAATAAAATATGAAGGGCCCTAAAATATAGTCCGGCATGGCTTGAGATGGAAAATTTAGCCCTACACTATTCTTTAAAATATTATACTATGGTGGCCAATTTAGTCCCTGTGTTTGCAATTTGGCTAATTCTGTCCCTGTGTTTGCCTTGCTTTCATAATCTTAATTTATTTTAATTTTATTTACCTATTATTTGTTTATTTAGTTTTACTCTACTTTAAAGGATTTTCCAATTTGTTTTATATATTATTTATATTATAAAGAATTTCGCTTTTGGCTTTCTTTCTTTTTTTTATGAAAAAGAGGGGGCAAAAACCCCAAAAAACAACCTACACCAGCAAATCAGAAGGAACTAGCCTAGATCTACCAAAAGAGGAAAACTATAATTTATATAACAATTTGGAGACCTATATCCAACTGTGAACGTGCTCGTAGCAGACCTTGAGCCTTTGTATTAGGACCGTTAGCCAATGTGGACTGTTCCTTTAAATTTTATGTTTGAATAATTTAAAAACTATTTAAATATTAATCTAAAAAATATAACTATTTGAAAGCAATTTTAAAATAAATAAATAAGAGCTAAACTTAAAAAATTTATTTAAAAAAACCTAAAACTAAAAAAATAAAAAATATGAAAGACACCACCTCCAATACCAAGCGCCATCCACCACCCTTCTCCCTTCGTATGTTTTCGAATGTTTCAGTAGGTAGTGTCTTCTAGAGTTTTCCTTGTATTGGTGAGGTTTCGTTTTTTTTTTTTTTTTAATTCCCTTTGCTGAGAATTTGCTTGTATTGGTCTGGTTTCATTATTTTTGTTCCCTTTACTAGGGTTTAATGGAAATTCCTTTCAGTTAAAAAAAAAAAAAAAAACCTAGGTCCCTCAAATTCATTTCTTCGTGATTGAAATTGAAATTTTTTATTTGTAATAAGAGATTATCATATTATTATTAAAAGATAAAAATTCTATTTTACTGGTAGAAAAACCCTCACTCATCATCTAATAAAATTTTAGATAATTTGGAAACAGCTGCGGAATATCATGGATAGAAGAAAGCATACACATTTTATCTTATGTCACATAAACTACAGTAAATTTCAGTAGCTTACTCCATGATTTCGGCCTTTTGTTTATAAAGTTGCCTACCACCTTACCCAAATAAGGTTAAAATTCAGCTTTGGCGGGCAAGTTTAAATATTTTGCCTACATCACTAAACCTTGTTCAAAGGAAGGTATTGGTCTCAGCTTATTGTTCTGGTTGTGGGACGGCGATGGAGGATGTTATCCATGATTTTTGGGGTTGTAAACGCACCAGACTGTTTTGGGCGCTAACTTCCTTCAATATTGATTTGGCGGTCAGACAAGGCTCTTTTGTTGACTTTTTGGAGGTTATGTTTCATACTCTGTCAGACTGTGACTTGGGAACATTTTGTGTGTTGTTGTTGGAGAGTTTGGAAGCTTTGCAATGAGGTGCTCTCTGGAAAGACCGCTGATGGGCTTTCTGAGATTGTTGAGTGGACCATGGAGTTTTTGGACCAGTTTAAAATTCACAATGCTTGCACCAAGCCAACAAGGGTGCCACGGTTTATTAGGTGGATTAAACCTCCTCCTTCTTCGTTGTTATTGAGTTGTGATGGAGCGAATGGACAAGCTGGTTGTAATAGAAGGGTTGGTGGTGTCATAAGAGACTCTACAAGTAACTTTATTTGGGGGTTTGCAGATCAAGGCCCAACAGGTTTGGATGTTTTGGCTACTGAATGTGCTGCTATACACATGGGATTGTTGAAGGCTACTGAGTTGGAAATCTCTGATTTTTTGGTAGCATCAGACTCGCAAGAAGTTCTGGCTTTATTGAAGGGAGATGGTGAGCTATGGAGTAATCTGGGTAATATTGTGGATGACATTAGAAGGTTGCTAGTACAATTGTGTGTTAGTGATGTTCTTTTTCAGCCGCGTTTGGGGAATCGGGTCGCTCACTCTTTGGCGCAATTTGGGTTGCTTGAACAGCATCCTTCTTTCTGGACTGGTCTTGCTCCTGACTAGCTTGTACCACTGTTTTGGTTATTGTTTTCGGATGTAGTACTCTTTTTTCTTGATCGGATTTCCGCCATTATGGGTTTTTATGACAAGGTTTTAACGAGGCCAACTCTTGTTGCATCCCTGTTTTGATTGCAAATTGTATGCTTGTTGGTTGGAATGAAAGTTTCTTACTCTTTGATTAAAAAAAAAACTGAATCGGTGAAAGAAAGCATATATACATCTAAAGCATATATATACATCTAAACTTATGTAACATAAACCTACAGTAAATTTCAATAGCTCCTCCACGATTCCGAAGATTTGTTCATGATTTTCACCAACTGTAAAACTATATATATATTTGTCACAAGAAATCGTTAACATTTTATTCTGGACACAAGAAGAATGACAATTTATGAAATTCACTTATTTTACGTGTACACAAATATTCAATTAACTAATCTACTCCATGCATTATTAAAGTGCATGTGCAATGTAAGGGTTTGTAGCTCAAGTAGTTAAAAGCATTTATCTATCCCAGATCTTAAATTCAATTCCTTATTTTCTCAATATCGCTTCTATAAAAAGAAGAAGAAAAAATAAATTATGCACCAATTTAGATATACAAAAAATGCCCACAAAACGTATCCAAATCATAATGAGACTGACAGCTTCTTTGTCCACAAACACTTTCAATTGCTTGGTTTGTCAAAAAGAATAAATCACAACTAGCATTGCCACAAAAACAAAAACAAAATATTTGAAGTCAAATTCCGACACTAATCAAACCCAATTTCACACCAAGCATCGGGGATTTTGAAGCCCATACCTTAACTTTAGGCAACACAATTTTATACATGACTGAAAAAGCAAACATTTTATTACAATTTCGTTTTCTTGTGTTGGGTTATATTGGAAAGGATAGATTCTCATCTTCTGTCATCAGTTGGGCAAATGAGTATCTCCAACAGTCTTAACTACACCATGTTATTTGGCTATTTAAACTCAAAAACCACAAAATCCAACAGCTAACTCAAAAAATTAAACTATACCTCAAGTTAGTTTTGTGAACAATTATAAAGCTAAATTTAGAGAATTTAACAAAAGCTAAATTTTAGTGGGTGACGGTTTTTTTGTTTTGTTTTTTATACACGTAATATTGACGGAGGGGAAACTAAACTTAGGACATCGTTCTTGATCCTGTCTTTGACTCCCACAGGGAAGCAGCGTTGAGCAATAGGCTCAAAAAAACTGAAAATGGATTTCTCGAGAATCTTAAGCACTTGAGTTATAAGCCATTCCGTTACATGTAAGTTTTTTTTGCTTTGTTAGTGGGGTAGTTTTAGTTTAGGCAAGGAAAAAAAATTTGAAACTGGAATGTGACAGGTGGAAGAAAGCCATTGGGCAGAGTCGCGTGCACCAATGGAACGAGATAACTTGCGGGCGGGGCGGACATCTCATCCTTTATGCCCACCTCAGATTCCCGAGAAAGGCAACGAACCTTTATAAAACTGAAGTTACTTAAGGGAAGAAACCCAGTAATTCATTTCAAAACTAGAAGATCCAAAACTAAAACAAAACCAAAAACAAGAGAGAGAGAAATGGAATTGGGAAAGTTGCAAGGGCTAAATTCCATGGACGAAGAATTTGAATTCTTGCAAATTGGAGAAGAGGACTATGTGGGTCTTTCGCACTGGGAGTTCGTTGATGCCTCTGACGCAGACTCAGAAGAAAAGCACCACCACAACCACCACTCTGACTCCGAACAACAAGAAGATAAAGACGAAGAAGCAAATGGATCCGATGGGCTCAGTATCGGGCCTTCTTCATTTTCCTCTTCGATCTCTTCGACCTCTCCGCCAATGGCAGTTCCAGTCGGTGCCCATAGCCATCGTCGTCCCCATCTTGTTCGATTTCTCGATGTGGGCCTCAATCTCAAACCCCGTCACGATTTTGACGGTGGTGATGAGGATGAGTGCCATGGTAATGATGGTGATGACGACGATGATGATGGGTATGGTTTAGATGACGAGCTCGTGCCGTGGTCGGTGGGCGACAAGTTTGGGAGGCAAAGGATGAGGAAATTGGGGAAGAGGACATTTCCGAAGATGAACAATTCGAAGCGATCGCCTTACTTGCTTGTGAGGCCTGGCTGCGTCCGTGGGAAGCATGGGCTGGGTTTGAAGCACATAAACTAAAAGGATTTCTTCAGTTCATTGCTGGGAAAGATTAGATCTTTGGAGATTTGGGTATCTTTTACAACTGGTTTTGGATGTAATTATTTGTAGTTGGGATGAAGTAGTCTTATGTTAATTTGGGTAAATATGGGGTTTGGATTTAACATGCGGTTGTTGATTCTGAATCTCTGACTTGTTATATTTCAATGGTCTATATAAGAATCAAATTTCTGTTGTTGATGACTTCACTGTGTATATGTTTTAAACTCTCACATTTGATATGGTTGGGGATCAATGGTTTTTTCTACATTTTATTTTATGGATGTTAGGGTATTGGAATTGGGAAATGAAAATTTGGAGGGTTAAGGTGAAACCCATTTGGACAATTTTGGAATTGGGTGTTCATGTTCATGTCTGGTGCAATTGCTGCTGTTCATTTGATCATTTTGATAGTTGATTTGATGACTTTGGGGCATTGATCTCTCCTTGAAGTAACCATTGTTGCAAAACTTGACATTTGGTTTCTTGCTTGTGGTTAGAATTTATTAGAAAGAAAACTGTTCCTTGAAAAGCACTTGAGAAGACGGTTCCTTGAAAAGCACTTGAGAAGACTGGCACAACCATTTCCTATCAGCTCTATCAGCTCTGATTTTGGAAATACATTGGTGCATGTAGGGATTGTGAGTTCTTTTAGATATATGTTCCACAACACAATATCAATGTTTTCCATCACTCGACACTCGCCTCGAACCCTCACTCGCGTGATGAGAGAGATAGAGTGAGAGATTACATTAACCAGTTTCATGCAAGGTTTTCTCTAAACACTTGGGAGTGCTTGCCATGAGACTGGAAAAATATGGTCCGCCAGCAGCATTAGGTTTAATATGCTTTCTGATACTAAGATGTAGTTTGTGTGGGTAAAATTCACAACCCAGTCACCAGTATTAAATTCAGGTCTCGCAGTTCATCCTTGCCTTGGATTTAATGGGAGAGGAGTCAGAGGAGGTGCCATTATTAGAAACCAAAACGTCCCCTGGAACTTGTTGGGCTGCTAATGGGAGTTATTTGTGATCAATTTCGTCCTCAAGGCTGTACCGTGTGGTTCATTCAGTAGCCCAATATGCAGAATGCATTTCGTAATTTTGTTCTCTTCTTTTTAAAAGAGTGTTGCTAAACGAACCTAAAATTAATTACACCATAAGATCTAAGTTCACCATAATATTTAACTAAATACACTCTATTTAACTACCAAAAATACCACAATACACCCTATACAAATGAAATAATTGAAAATATTTATTCATAAAACTAAAATATAAAAAAACCTACCCAGTCCCCCACACTCCCTCTCCTCCCACAACCGTTCCCACACCCAACCCCCACTCGCGGCCCGCCAATTCCTTCCTCCACCACCACCCATCTCCAAGTTCTACACCCTCCCTCCCACACATCCCTTTGTGCCCAGCCCCAGACCCAATGGCCCAAAAATTTATCAAGGTAACCAACCCCCTGTCCTAACCCCATATTATCATCTTGACCATCGTACATCAAGTGGGCTAGCACTTATATTCTTTTATTCATCATGTCAACTAAATCCAAGAGAGTGCCATTTCCATCTCGATCAATCTCAAAGAGCTTTCCTACTTATATGAGCCAACTTCATGTCACCATACTGTTTGGCTTGCCTGGGTGCGTTCCCATGGAAGATGAATGTTGCCCTGTCTTGAAATTAAGTATAAATGACGCCATGGTGGAGGGGTTTCTTTTGTTTTTTTGTTTTTTGTTTTTTGTTATGTTCTTTTATTAGTTGCATACTGGAATTAATATGTGACAATGTTTGTACCATATCTGACCCCCTCACTCACGTCATGGCACGTGGAAGGTAAACGAGGCTAAGACTAGCTCAGTGAGCCATGCCGAAAGGTCAATCGGTAAGTGCTAACGACCGACTCACCCACACCAACCTTTGGCACGCGATGTTGAGCAACTAGTCAGTACATCCGGCCGATCCTGACAAATAACCTTGGAACTCTGGCCAAAACCTATCCAGGGCACGTGTCGACCGTCGAAGACACTCCTACGAGTCCCACATCGAAACTAAGTACTAAGAGCATCACAAATGCTTTCTATAAATAGAGCCCTCTTGACCCAACCAAAAAGGTAATACTGTTTACTTGACTTATGCTTTCATATTGTCAATAGAATTGCTCTTAGTCACTAACTTTGGCATCAGAGGGTCTTCAGCCGGCGCCACACTGGTGTCTTAGACCTCATCTGCCGTTTCTTTCTCTAGGCCGAATCTAGCATCACGCCTTGAGGAAGGACGCCACGGACCGAAGGCACCTCGGGTCTAAGCCATCCACATCACTTGTAAGTTAGCCTTATCTCTCTCTGCTTAGTTTTAGTGCGAACATACAACATTTCTTTGATTAGGATTGAAGATGGTGAGTAGGGTGTACTTATTAAAATTACATTTGTTTCAGAATTAAATATATCATTTTTGGTCATTTTATATTAGGATAAATAAGTGATTCAATAAATAGTTTGATAATATGATGTATTCAATTAATTTTAGAGTTCGTTTAGCAATACTCTTCTAAGAAGTTATGATAAACCTTGCTAGTAGAATTCTATAGTGCGGGGTTGAGCTCAACCCATATAAAATTGGGCAACCTAAACCCAACCCAAGTTAACCCGAATTCACCTTGAGTTGGGTTGATTTCATTTTTTTCCAACCTCAAGAAATCTGAACCTGAACTCAAATTGCCAAGGATGGGCTAGGTTGGGTTGACCTTCCAACCAGCCCGAGTTGCACTACTATCGAATTATGTTGAATTTTGTCGAATA